GGCCTTCATAGTAGCAACTATCAACGGACTATGGCAAGCATGCCAGGGGCCACACCTTTGGCAGTTGCTGCCATGATGGGAGACAAGAAATTGGTTCAGACCCTCCTGGACAAGGATGCTGACGTGGAAATTCCCAACAATCGCGGGCATACCCCTGAGGACCTTGCGAGGGAGGCGGGCCACACTCATTTGCTGCCCATTCTTTGTACTTTCGCAGTATGACACCATGCCTTGCAAGGAATGCAGGCGTCACCCCTGAGGGGTTTGAAGGTGAAGCCAACTGGGCAACCCAAGGCGATGAATAAAATGCTGTGCAGAGTGCGGAATGCTGTGACCTGAGCAATATCTTGAAAGATGGTGCATCAATAAGTTTGGTTTCCAACGTGTAGTTGCGACGCAGTCATGCACATACGAATAGAAACACGAATAATATGACATAGTTAGATTACACGCGCATGTACATGCGCACATTTGTACGTGTATCTAGACACATTCATTACATTACGCTACATTATGTTGTATTAGATTGCATTGCATTACATTGCACTACATTATACTACATTGCATTACATAGCATTGCATTGCATTACTTAGCATAACATAGCCACATAGCATTAAATAACATTGGATCAGATAACATAGCATTAGATAACATGACATCAGACCACATAGCGTTGCCAAAACAGATCGCAATGGAGAGAGAGAGAGAGAGGGCTAAAACAGTACATGCGTAACATAACAATGCATACATAAAAATACACAACAATACATAGCAGTCCATTGCAAGCCATAATAAGGAATAACTACCATGGAAAAGAATGCGTAACAGCGCCTTACAATGCGCAATAAGACAAAGCAATACATAACTACAAACAACCAAAAGAATATACACGAGAGAAACCACAAACCCGAGTGCAGTCACGTAAAACACTTTTGTGAAACAATTTTTTGAACAGTCCTGTATATTTTACATTTCTTCCCCCCTGTTACCCTACCAGTGCACTGTAGACAGTGGAAAGTGGAAGGGATTGGAGTGCCAAGTGAGTGTGGAGTGCGGAGTGTAAAGTGTGCAGTGTGGAGTGTAAAGTGTGGAGTGTGGAGTGTAAAGTGAGTGTAAAGTGTGGAGTGAGGAGTGTAACGTGTGGAGTGAGGAGTGTACAGTGTAAAGTGTACTGTGCCGACTGTAAATCGTAAAGTGCAGAGTGTAGAGAGTGGAAACGAAAAGTGTGGAGTGTAAAGTGTGAAGTGTGAAGTGTGGAATGTAAGTGGGAAGTGTGAAGTGTAAAGTGTGGAGTGTGAAGTGTGGAGTGGAAAACGAAACGTGTGGAGTGTAAAGTGTGGAGTGTGAAGTGTAAAGTGTAAAGTGTGGAGTGTGGAGTGAGGAGTTCAGAAGGTGGAGTGAGGAGTGTAAAGTGTGGAGTGAGGAGTGAGGAGTGTAAAGTGTGGAGCGTGGAGTGTAAAGTGTGGAGTGTAGATTGTGGAATGTGGAGTGTAGAGTGTGGAGTGTAAAGTGTGGAGTGTAAAGTGTGGAGTGTGAAGTGCGGGTGTGGAGTCTGAAGTGTGGATTGTAAAGTGTAAAGTGTACAGTGTGGATTGTAAATGGTAAAGTGTAGAGTGTGGAAAGAGGAGTGGAAAGTGAAAAGTTTGGAGTGTAAAGCGCGGAGTGGAGTGTAAAGTGTGTAGTGTAAAGTGTGGAGAGTGAGAGTGTAAAGTGTGGAGTGTAGAGTGAGGAGTGTAAAGTGTAGAGTGAGGAGTGTAAAGTGTGGAGTGTGAAGTGTAAAGTGTGGAGTGTGAAGTGTAAAGTGTGGAGTGTGAAGTGTGGAGTGTAGAGTGTGGAGTGTAGAGTGTAAAGTGTGGAGTGTAAAGTGTGGAGTGTAGAGTGTGGATTGTAGAGTGTGAAGTGTGGAGTGAGGAGTGTGGAGTGTGAAGTGTGGAGTGTGGACTTCAAAGTGTGGAGTGAGGAGTGAGGAGTGTAAAGTGTGGAATGGGAAGTGTATTAGCCAAAAACGCGCAACAAGACACGCCTGAAGTGCTGCGCCTGCCATGTAAAATGAGGATGGAGGTCTCCAAAGTGCTGCACTTGCCACGAAAAATGCAACTCATCTTCTGCAAACGAGATCATTAAAAATATTGAGCGTGCCACACAAAACGACTTTCGACGCTTTTGTAGACACGTGAGAATGTCACGAAGTGCCACGCCTGCCACGCAAAACGACATGACAACTTGTTTTGAAACCTTCGAAAAGGAAAGGTTTTGCAGCTTCGAGCGTTGAGACGAGACATGCCGGAGTCTCAAAACGAGCATTTCGTGCGAGACATCCTCAATTTTATCAATTTTTTACACTTTGCAGCTTCAAAATCGACGTTTTCCTACGACTACGAGTTTTCCATCAGAACCTCGAAATTTGCTACCTCAAAATCGATGTTTCGTGCGAGGGTTCCGTCAATTTTCGTCACATATCTCAAAATGCAATGTCTGCCACGGAATTTGCACCTTGTCACCACTTCGCGGAGCCCTGACAATGGGATTAGCCACAACCACGCAACACGACACGTCTGAAGTGCTGCGCTGGCCACGAAAAATGCAACTCATCTTCTGCAAACGATGTAAAAGTATTGCGCTTGCCACAAAAAAAAAAGGATTTTCGACACGCTATGAAACATATTGGAATGTCACAAGGTACCGCGCCTGCCACGCGAAACGAAGCTTCGCGACGTTTGAAACCTCCAAAACTGACATAAACTTACCACTTTTGCAGAACTCGCCAAAGGCACGGCCATAGCGACCTACTTGCGGACGGTTGCCGACAGTTACAAACGGTTGCAAACGGTTGCCGACGGTTGCGGTGGCAGAAGCGGCGTCGAGCGAACACGTCTGCACCCCCAGACCCCCAAAGTAAAACGAGAACCCTTCGCTACGCATTCGGGAATAACAGCGCACGACAGCACAATACATCACAGAAAAACACATAGCAATACATAGCCATACATAAGCAATACATAGCCATACATAGCGATACATAACAATACATAGCAATGCATGACAATAATACCTAACAATACATGATGATACCTACAAACACATACGACATAGCAATGAATAACGATATTTAAGAACCCATGAAAAAACATACAGATACACAGCGACAATACCAACACATTACAATACACATTGAGACATACACAATACATGACAAGACACAACAATACCCGAGCACACAACAATACAGAACAACAAATGACAGTACGATGGTGATGGAGAGAAAAACAAGAGAAACCAACGAACCTGAATGCAGTCACGTAAAACACTTTTGTGAAACAAGTTTTTGAAGGGGTTGGAGTGCCAAGTGTGGAGCGTGAAGAAAGTGGATTGTTGAGTGGGGAATGTAGCGTGTAGAGTGTGAAGTGGGGATTGTGGAGTGTAAAGTGTGGAGTGTGGGGTATAAAGTGTGACATGTAGAATGTGGAGTGCAAAGTGCAAAGTGAAAGGTGCAAAGTCTGGAGTGTAAAGTATAGAGTTTGGAGTGTAAAGTGTAGAGTGTGGAGTGTGGAGTGTAAGGTGTAAAGTGTGGAGTGTAGAGTGTGGAGTGTAAAGTGTGGAGTGTAAAGCGTGGAGTGTAGACTGTGGTGTGAGGAGTGTAGAGTGTAAAGTGTGGATTGCAGAGTGTGTAGCGTGGAGCGCGGAGTCTGAAGTGAAGTGAGAAGTGTGAAGTGCGGAGTGAGGAGTGTAACGTGTGGAGCGTAGAGTGTGGAGAGAGGCGTGTGGAGTGTGGACTGTGAAGTGTAAAGTGTGTAGTATTATAGTGTGAAGTGTAGAGTGTAAAGTGTAGAGTGTAAAGTGTGGAGTGAGGAATGTGGAGTGTGAAGTGTAGAGTGTACAGTGACATCCCCTCTCAGATCATTCGCGCCTCCACGAGTGCCGCTGCTTCGGGCAACACTGCAGCGGCTCGAAGACGAAGCATCATCCGCCGCTCGCTGGCGCCCAGTGAACGAAGCATCATCCGCCGCTCGCTGACGTCTTATTGACCTGACAGGCGAGGCTTGAAAGTCAGATAGCTCATCATCACTGTGCTCTTCACCGCGCAGTGTGCTACCCTCCTTTGAATTCTTCTGATACCTTGAAACACTTTTTTTTGAAATGTAAAGTGCGGAGTGTAAAGTGTAAAGTGTGGAAAGTAAAGTGTGGAGTGTAAAGTGTGGAGTGTAAAGTGTGAAGTGTGGAGTGTGGAGAGCAAAGTGTGAAGTGTGGAGTGGGGAGTGTAAAGTGTAGAGTGTAAAGAGTGGAGTGTGGAATGTAAAGTGTGGAGTGTAAAGTGTGGAGAGTAAAGTGTGAAGTGTGGAGTGTGGAGTGTAAAGTGTGGACTGTGGAGTGTAAAGTGTGGATTGTGGAGTGTGAAGTGTGAAGTGCGGAATGTAAGTGGAAAGTGTGGAGTGTAAAGTGTATAGTGTGGAGTGTGGAGTGTAAAGTGCAAAGTGCAAAGTATAAAATGTGGAGTGTAAAGTGTGGAGTGTGGAGCGTAAAGTGTAAGATGTAGGCTGTAAAGTGTAATGTATGGAGTGTGGCGTCTAGAGTGGGGAGTGTGGAGTGAGGAGTGTAGAGTCTAAAGTGTGAAGTGTGGAGGGTAGAGTGTGCAGTGTAAAGTGTGGGGTGTGGAGTGTAAAGTGTGGAGTGAAGAGTGTCAAGTGTGGAGTGAGGAGTGTAAAGTGTGGAGTTCAAAGTGCGGAGTGTAGAGTGTGGAGTGTAAAGTGTGGAGTGTAGAGTGTAAAGTGTGGAGTGTAAAGTTGGCAGTGTGAAGTGTAAAGTGTGGAGTGTAAAGTGTAGAGTGCGGACTGCAAATTGTAAAGTGTAGACTGTGGCAAGGGGAGTGCAAAGTGAAATGTGTGGAGTGTACAGTGTAAAGTGTAAAGTATGGAGTGTAAAGTGTGGAGTGTGGAGTGTCAAGCGTGTAGTGTAAAGTAAAAAGTGTGGGTCGTGAAGTGTAGAGTGTAAAGTGTGGAGTGTGGAGTGTAGAGTGTGAAGTGAAGGGTGTAAAGTGTGGAGTGTGAAGTGTAAAGTGTGGAGTGGGGAGTGTAAAGTGCGGAGTGAGGAGTGTATATAAAGAGTAGAGTGTGGAGTGTAAAGTGTGGAGTCTAGAGTGTGGACTGTAGAGTGTGGAGTGTAGAGTGTAAAGTGTGGAGTGTAACGTGTGGAGTGTTAAGTGTGGAGTGTTAAGTGTGGAGTGTGGAGCGTAAAGTGTAAAGTGCGAAATCTAAAGTGTAAAGTGTGGAGTGTAGAGTGTAAAGTGTGGAGTGTCAAGCGC